GTATGCAATGCAGAGTTAGGATGTTTCCCATGTATTCATTGAATCTCTTTCACAGAACCTTGCGCACAGATTCAAACCTATGACGCAGAGCACATGAACTGACCTTTTCTTGCCTTTGAGTTCTCAGCCAACATTTTTATAACCTGTTTTATAACACTGAAAACAGCAAACTAACATTTTCTATAGCAATAAAAAAAAATCTAAGCCATTCATTTTGGTAATATATGAGAAGAAAGGATACAGATCCAGGTAGATACAGGTGTATGTTACAGGGCAGACATTCAGACTTTAAATGTTTACTGCAGATTTCAGGTGAAGAGGATTTATTGCAGATTCAGAAGCAATAAACTCCTGTATAGAGATTTGTTGTGTGGTTTCTATGGTTCCTTACAGAGCACTGCTATTGGTCAGTGGGTGAGGTATTAATGCTGAACCATTAAAGATACAAATTTATAATGATGTGTTTATGAAAACAAAGCTGCATTAAACAAAACAATTACACTATTATTTAATTACAATATTATTTAAGTAGCTGAACTTTACCTTGTCTATAACCGGTAGCAGCCTTTTGCAGTCCGTGTACAACAGCGCTCAGACTGCAAAAGTGTGAAGCAACACAATACTGCAGTACTAAACAAGTTGTGCTGGTGGGAGGAGAGATCAGAGTTACAAAGATGAGTTCATCAGTCTGCTGTGTCTCCTTTCACTGTCCAGTAACAGGATGGGAATGAGACTTAACTGTAGGAGATAAAATGCTGGTCTCCTATCCTGCTAGACAGCACGTGTGGCAAAGCTGCATACATTACAAATCTTTGGGCAGGTAAAACACCTACCTTTTACCTACATACAACACACCTACCTTATTTTCACAGATATGTGTGCCTGAAAAGTAGCTTCACCTACACATTGAATGGGCTTTAACCCTGTAGAGACTTAGTTCACGCACAGTCCAACTTTCAGTTATGTTTGCACCCCTTTTGTTTTATTGCACCTGCAATGCGTGTTAAAGTCTTTGAAGGGGTGTTAGTTTTTTTTTTTCGTTTTTTTTTTTTTTTTAAAGTAGCCTCATCTCGAGTAGAAAAGCCAGTTCCCTACCAGCATGCTGTATAAAAGTACCCTTGCTCCCTGTATAGAAGCAGGGGTCTCTCTTCTGGAGGTGACCTGTGTCAGCAAAGCTTACGGTCACTGCTGATTGAAAAGCTCTAGCTCTGACACAGGAGGGCAGTGTAGCTGGACCTCTGCAGAGTGACCACTGCTTCTATACAGAAAGCAAGGGGTCATTCTATACAGCTGAAACTCGAATAATTAGAATATCGTGCAAAGTTCATTTATTTCACTAAGGCAACTTAAAAGGTGAAACTAATATATGAGATAGACTCATTACATGCAAAGCAAGATAGTTCAAGCCGTGATTTGTCATAATTGTGATGATTATGGCTTACAGCTCATGAAAACCCCAAGAACCCCAAATCCACAACCTCAAAAAAGTAGATTATTACATGCAATCAATAAAACAAGGATTGTACATAGGACAATATTGGACCTCTGAAAAGTACAAGCATGCATATGTGCTCAGTACTTGGTTTGGGCCCCTTTTGCAGCACTTACTGCAATTACTTTTGCATGATATTCTAATTATTCGAGTTTCACCTGTATATAGGCCTGGCTTTTTTTCTCATAGGTTGTGGTGGTTCCCTTTAGATAGCAGCCACAACATAGCCAAGACTCTTCATACACCTGAAATATAAACAAAAAAAGTGAAAGTGCAGATAACGCATCTGTACTTCTTTTATAGTAAATTCCTGTGTAGGGGCGCTGAGTGGTCAGTATGCACACAATCAGAAGTGCTGCCAACACATGCTGACAGGAGTCCAGATCAGTGTGCTGCAGCACATTGACTGTCCAATCACAAGCTCGTAGGGGGAGGTAACATGGCTGAATTGCCTAGCTGCATCAGATAAAGGTCTAGCTGCTACCTTTGACTTGAGTAATTCCACAAGCATGTGGTATAGGGGGGGTTAGAACAAATGATGTGCACATGCTGGCTCCTTACTAAATATTAAAAGTCAGTGTAAGGATAACAGGTCCAGATCTTGAGATGTTTGCATGAATTACTGCTGAGTTTTGCTCAGGTGTAGTTGCTTACCTTCTTTATGCCTGATTAGAGGTCTGTGCCCCTTGCCATTTAGAGGGTTATAGGTTCAGAGCAGAGCAGTTCATAGACAAACCAGCCTTGCTAGATCTATCACTATGGAACAGCAACCCCCCTTGTCAGAATCTCCTCAACTGTGACCATAAATGTTGCTAACAGCAAGTTTAGGGTTCCCATAAATATGGACATTCTAATTGCATACATACATGTTCCAGGTCAATGACAGACACCTAGAATGTTCAGAAGGACGTTAGCAATGATAGTTTACAAGTTAGTGATATTTGCTCAATCTTGCTAGGTCTTTGGTTGTGTTTAGTTTACATTTTCTACCTATCTTATATAATACATGTATTGTATTGAGAAACTTTTGTATCATGCATCAAATTGACATTTTTACAAGAAGGGATATGGCCTAGTTGCTTGCCATGCTAAACCATTACTCCTTCTAAAACGAGTGCCATCGTTTATTTCAATACCATTCAAAAAATGTTTTGTTTGCAGTTACAAGACGGGCATTGGCATCAAACCATATTCACGTTTCGGACACAGGACCCAACTCAGTTACCAATCGTTGACGTGTTAAACCTCCCTTCATCCAAGCCTGGGAAGAACCTTCATTTAGAAGTGGGGAGTGTCTGCTTCTTGTGAACTCTTATTCTGGTTCCTGCATCCACCTGACCTCTGGAACCACCAATCTTGAACCCTAAGTGACCTGTTATCCAGAATGGATGAAGGCTGCGGAATGACTCTCAAATAATAGTAGAGCTAATCCTGTTATCCTGAATCCCAATCCACTGTGCCACAGAAGAACTTAGACTTGGGGGTTCCCATCATGCCCCACCCCCCCTAATCAATCAAATCTTTGGGGACAGGAAACAGAATAATCAATCTCCAGACTAGCTAACACCCACAGGAAAAGTGTGTTAGCCCAAGCAATAAGGAAAGAGAATGAGGTCCACCGGTCACGTGATTGAGCGATAACATGCAACAAGCCAAAAACAGTCTTAAGTCTGTCATTATTCTCCCTTTCTGCCGGGGAGCTGGTAACAGGCAAGAATTTTAGGTAACCTAGGCAGAAAGCATTGTGAAGTGCAATATAAAAAGAAAATATGTAAAAGTAATATATTATTTAAAAAGTAGTATCTCCCCCAACTTTCCTGTGAAGGAACAAGAAAAACCAAAGCTGTACTTACACAGTGACTGATACAACAACATGAGACAAAGGCGACTGGTGCTAAACACCCCCACTGTGAAAATCTCTGGTGCATTGAAGCTTTTTTTTTTTTGAAGCTATTTAAAGTTTCTGAAGGTGCTGATGACTTCCCACAAAAAATTTTTGGGAGGACACCCGGCTTTTATAATTATTTTATTTTAATAGGAGGAAGCTGTGGTTGCTTCCTTATGTACAGCCCCCCCTTCACCCCTGAGAGACATTTTCTGGAGAACCTACGTAGGAACGGTCTGATCTCTTGAAATATGCGATATTACAGGAAGTAGTCTTTTCTAGAGAGACTGGCACTGCACATGTTTACTTACCAGCATATAATTTAAAAGCACTGAATGCCTATGTTTTCTAAGGGACTATCAACTCGGCCTCATTCTGTCATTTGTGGACCTAGAAAATGAAGTTTACATGTTTATAATTTATATAACACAGACTTGTCTGTTGCAATAGGTCCACTGTCTAGCACAAAAAAAGGAGAATTCAAATATAACATTTTACAATTTCTAATTGGCAAAATTACATTTATTTTTTGTTTCTGTAACTTTTTCAAAGCACTATTGTGATTGCCTTTTAAACCTGTTGTATCCTGGTAACCTAAATCCTGCAGTGTGCGACTAAAAAGACTCAGGCATGAAGGGGGGAAAAAAACTTTTAAAAAAATCAAACAGAAGATAAATTAAGAAAAAAATTAATTTAAATGAATCGTGTTTTATATATTTTAAGGGAATATTTTTGTAGGCTTGCGTACTGATGAAATTTGTACCAAAGTAATTTTTATTCATAGATATCTTTTTGTAGATTTTCATTTTTTGTCACTGCTTGGTTGTATAGATTGCTTTTCAGAGCTGTATGTTTTTGTTTTGTTTTTTATTTTAGGGCTGATTGCTGCTGTCGCCTGTGCATTTTGCTGCCTGCTTGCGTTTTCACACCAGAAATGGGAAAAAAAAAGAAAGATATTTTAATTTAAATGCATCCTGGTCCCATCTCTGGATTTTCTTCCCCATGTCTGTCACATTTCTCTTTGCTTAGTTAAAAGAGAATTAATGTTGCTTTTAAAACCCAACTGGCTTTGGAGTAAATTCTGTAGAGATTTTAGTTTCTATGTGTAAATTTGGAGCTAAAGAGAATTACGTTATCTGTTGTGTTCTATGTTATCTGTCGTGTTCTATATTATATCTAGGCTGTACTGTACTGAGAATACCATGTTCTATGTTTAGAAAGGTCTATTGGGTATTTTTATTTTTTTGTGAACATTTGGTTTTTTTAATTTTGTTTTGTTGTCATATTCCACCTATGAATTCCAAGAAGGCAAGTTTCATCCAAATACCTCAACATGTGACTTTGGGGCTTTTCCTTCCTTTTCTCTCTGCTCCATTATAATACCCTTCATTCTTCTCATTATTTCTTCCTTTGCCTACCAGACCTCCTCTCTGCCCCATGTCATTAATCTGTTTCAGGGTGTTGGAATCTCTATTCACATTCATTTTGTTTAAACAAAAAAAATAAATATTTCAGAATGAGGTTGTGCAGGAAAATCTTGTATGTTTTTGGGTTTGTTTTGTTTTTGTTTATTGCACAGTATAACTTTTTCAATTCACCTGTTTAACTACTTGCTGCCCAGAGCAATTTCGGACATTTGCACACACATGATAAAATCAGAATTCTGGGCTAGAAAACAGCTTCAGACCCCCAAACAATTATATATTTTCTGAAAGCAGATGCCCTGTAGAATAAAAAGATGCTAATTGCAATGTTTTATGTTGGTATTTGCACAAATGTTTATCAAACAAGTATTTTTAGGTTAAAATACACTAAATTTAAATTTAGTGCACAAAAACAGAATATAATGCCTTTTTTTTGGTAAAATATAAAAGATGGGGTCACGCCGGGTAAATAGATACCAAACATGTCAAGCCTTAAAATTGCGTGCGTCTGTGAAACTGCAAAACATTACAATAACCAAAATTTCCCATAGGCGTTGCTTTAAACGCTTTTATGGCTCATCAGTTTAGTATTAACAGTGATTGATGGGCCTAGAATTATTGCTCTCACTCCGACACTCACAAGGATATGTAACATGTGGCGCAATTTTTGTTTTTGCACGTAGGCACATCCGACGCGTGTTTGCGTTGTATGTGCGAGCATGTGGGGGCCGAGGCCTTTAAAACATTTTTTTTTGGCATTTTTCTATTTTTTTTATCTGTTACTTTAATTTTTACATTCTTTAAATTATTTTTTTACACTCAGCTTTATTGCTATCACATAGGGGAAAACAAGCCCCCTATGTAATAGCAAATATAATGTGACAGGTCCTCTTTATAGAGATATCAGGGGTCTTTCAGACCCCTAATTTCACCTTTGGACCCCAAAGAAGCTGATGAAGCAGATATCTGCTTCACCAGCTTCTTCTTCTGGCTCTAGGAGTCAGAGAATGTGCACAGTGACACCGGAAGTGATGTAATGCACATAACTTCCGGGTCCAGTGATCAGAGGAGAGATCAGTGGCTGGAAGCCTGCTGATCTCCCTCCGATCTGTCAGGGGAGACCCACCGTGCCGATCCCGGGCTCACACAGGGGGCAGTGGAGTCCAGAAAGCCTACGGCAGCGCCAGCAGAGGGGGCACACACAACGCAGCACCGTACAATCGATCCGGTGCCTGTATAGATGTTGGATCACTTGTATTTAAACAGCAATCATCTGCTGTTTAAAACGGTACCAAGAACACGGCGGCAGCAGCAACCGTGTTCTTGGTATAACCACTTCCAGTGGATGACATACATTTACATGAACCCAGTTAAAGTGGCTCTATGAACTTTCTCTGGTAAGGTGAACAAAAATCTCAATACATATTACATGAGTTCTGCGGCAGAGGTGAATTTATTGTGGACAAATGTGATTTAGGCTGGAGGTGTACACAACCTGTCTATTAGGTACTCAAATGGGGTCTAATTTTGTGGTCCCTCAGGAAAGGGAGTATTAAATTATAATCGGATCCTTTTATGGTTCCAAGACATTGCTGCTTGGGTCCTTTGAATTGAATGAATTTAAAATACCTGCACCTCTGCTGCTGTCTGGAAATGGGTTCCTGGTTTTTACATGCCTTCTATTTCTATGATTTTTTTTTTTTTGTTACCATTCTAATGCTGCATCACAAAGTGGGAAAATAAACAATGACCAGCTTGACCACATGCCATGAAATACACAGTGTGCTATCCTTTAGATTGACTTAAAAACAGAGAAACAGTCAGTGTAGACTTCCATCTAAAAATGCTAGTTGCTTGATCCAAAATGCTTTTAGGTCCCGGACTTCCAACAAGAGTCCAGATTATAGCCACACTCTGGGCAAGACTATAATAATCATCATTACACACCCAGTGCAGTGTGTAAACTATAAAGCTGGGTGTTATGTGCAGAGGGCGGCTGCAAAGTAAAAGAGAAAACCTTGCCTTGCAGCACACAACGCCCAGCTTCTGGGAACTGAGGAGAGGAAGAGAGGAGACTCCGGTGGCATCACCCACCCTTCTCACGATTGCCCATTCCCAAAATGTCTGGGGGGGGGGGGGTTTTCCAAACAATGCAAGCCATTCTGTAATTGGAGGAGGAGGGGACAGTAATGTGACATCTCACCTCCTCCAATCATAGAAGGTTGAAAAAAAATGCAAATAAGTTTGTGAATGGACGATAGTGAGAAGGGGGGGGGCGGATGATGTGACCGGAGGGCTGTACTGCTTGATGTCACATCTTTCCCTCTCCTCCGTGCTCAGAAGGTGAGTGTTATGTGCAGGGGAGGGCGTGCTGCAAGGTAAGATTTGTGTTACTTTGCAGCAGCCCTCCGCACACAACATCCAGCTTTTTAATGATAATTTACACCCCCGTGTATTATTGTTTTGTCTGAAGTGCGGCTCTAAGCAGGTCAGTGTAAAGTCAGGAACTCCTGATTTGCATGTGTTGTAGTCACTGTAGCAACATGACAGCCAGGCAATAAGCATTTTCAGAAGAGATCAGCAATGGCACCATACACAGTATGGTTAATATTAAATGAAACCTACAGAAATGAACCCACCATTAAGGCAGCACTGTATCAATCATTTTGTGTCTCGTGTTATTTTTTACATGAAAACAGTGTAAGTACCTGAATTCGACTTGCCTCTTATCCTTGTACAGGAAGCTCAGACTGGGAAAGGAAAAAGCAGTACAATGAGCCTATTAGTGCTGCATTGCTCATGCACTAACAAGCAACATCTTGATAGGTGGAGAGAGATGAAAGCAGAGGAAAGAGCAGAGAGATGAGCTCATCAGTCTGCTGCTTCTTCTTTCGCTGACCGTTTACAAGTGTGATGACTGAAAAAACATTACATTGTTACTGAACTGCAACAAAGAAAGTTCAGGTCTCCTTTACTGCCAGGCAGGTTGTTTTATGTGGCAGAGCTGTGTACATCTCAGGACTGGATAAATAGAAATACAAATCCTATGGTATATACAGTACATACAGTCATGGCCAGAAATATTGGCACCCTTGCATTTCTGTCAGATAATGCACCACTTCGCACTTTGATCAATTGTTCTCTTTCGTTCACGTCCAGGCAGATTAGGTACAGTGCCATGGGCTGTAAACGTCTTGATAATGTTGCTCACAGTGGACACAGGAACATTAAGATCTCTGAAGATGGACTCGTAACCTTACATAGTTACATAGTATTTGAG